AGCCAGCTGCACTAATTGTAACTTATACATTTTTAATAATCTATCAGTTAACAGTTCAATTATGTCGAATAATTAAATCTTTTTTTGAATGACTTGATTAGTAGATAACTGAAAATGTACTTATTGGTAAACTCCTGCACTAACTATAACTAATTGCAGCTCTTTTTATGAGTTTGTCGCCTCTAATTCTTCCATAGACTGCATAAGTTAACAGTTTTACTTCAAATTTTAGTGTGTTCAATTTCATTTCCTTTTAACTAATTTAGTCTCAACGAAAAAAAATTAACTGATTAGTGATTTTTTGTTACAAATTTATTTCTAGGGATATCCCCTTTTGAATAATTTAGTCTGTGGACGACTCAACATAAACTAATTAGTAGAAATCGTTACCAACAATAACTAATTACACTTTTTCATTAGCTTATCCTCTCTAATTCTCGGGTCCATTGCATGACTCAACAGTTTTCCGTCAAAGATTCATTTCTCATGTGTGCAATTTGATCCCCTTTTGAACAATTTCGTCTGTGGACGACTGAAGATTAATTTATTAGTAGAAATCTACAACTATAACTAATTACACCTTATTAGTTAACCGCCTCTAATTCCCTCTCCTAATGATTCATTTCTTTATGCAATTACATCTCTTTTTGAATAATTCAGTCGATAGGTGACCCAATATTCACTAATTAGTAAACAGCTGCGCACTAATTATAACTAGTTACATTTATTATTAGTTTATCGTCTTTAATTTTCCCGTATACTGCATAAATTCATACCTTCCCGACAAAGATTCATTTGTAGTGTGTGCAATTATATCTCCTTTAGAATAATTTCTGTAGATGGCTTAAAATTATCTAATTAGTGGAGAGCTGCATTTAATTATAATCTAATTACATGTTTTATTAATTTATCGCTTCTAATTCACTCGTACATTGCGTAATTGTGTTAAAGTTTCGTTTAAGGTGTGCGCGATTAAATCTACTTTTGAATAATTTATTCTTCCGCCGACTCAAAATTAATTAATTAGTAGACTTTTGCAGTAACTATAACTTTATTAGTTTATTGGCTCTATTTCTCCCACAGACTGCATTAGTTAACAGTTTCCTGTCAGAGATTAATTTCTAGTGTCAACAATTAGATCCCCTTTTGAATAATTTAGTATGTGGACGACCCAAAATTAACTAATTAGTAGACTTTTGCAGTACCTAACTATAACTTTATTAGTTTATTGCTTCTATTTCTCCCACAGACTGCATTAGTTAACAGTTTTCTGTCAGAGATTAATTTCCACTGTCTACAATTAGATCCCCTTTTGAATTATTTAGTCTATGGACGACCCAAAATTATCTAATTAGTAGAAATCTGCACTAATTATAACTAAATTACATTTTTTCATTAGTTTTTCGTCTCTATTTCTTCCGTAGATTGCATAAGTCAACAGTTAATTTAGTCTATGGACGACTCAAAATTAACTAATTAGTATCCAGCTGCACTAATTGTAACTTATACATTTTTAATAATCTATCAGTTAACAGTTCAATTATGTCGAATAATTAAATCTTTTTTTGAATGACTTGATTAGTAGATAACTGAAAATGTACTTATTGGTAAACTCCTGCACTAACTATAACTAATTGCAGCTCTTTTTATGAGTTTGTCGCCTCTAATTCTTCCATAGACTGCATAAGTTAACAGTTTTACTTCAAATTTTAGTGTGTTCAATTTCATTTCCTTTTAACTAATTTAGTCTCAACGAAAAAAAATTAACTGATTAGTGATTTTTTGTTACAAATTTATTTCTAGGGATATCCCCTTTTGAATAATTTAGTCTGTGGACCACTCAACATAAACTAATTAGTAGAAATCGTTACCAACAATAACTAATTACACTTTTTCATTAGCTTATCCTCTCTAATTCTCGGGTCCATTGCATGACTTAATAGTTTTCCGTCAAAGATTCATTTCTCATGTGTGCAATTTGATCCCCTTTTGAACAATTCCGTCTGTGGACGACTGAAGATTAACTTATTAGTAGAAATCTGCAACTATAACTAATTACACCTTCTTATTAGTTAACCGCCTCTAATTCCCTCTCCTAATGATTCATTTCTTTATGCAATTACATCTCTTTTTGAATAATTCAGTCGATAGGTGACCCAATATTCACTAATTAGTAAACAGCTGCGCACTAATTATAACTAGTTACATTTATTATTAGTTTATCGTCTTTAATTTTCCCGCATAAATTCATACTTTCCCGATAAAGATTCATTTGTAGTGTGTGCAATTATATCCCTTTTAGAATAATTTCCGTAGGCTTAAAATTATCTAATTAGTGGAGAGCTGCATTTAATTATAATCTAATTACATGTTTTATTAATTTACCGCTTCTAATTCACTCGTACATTGCGTAATTGTGTTAAATTTTCGTTTATGGTGTGCGCAATTAAATCTACTTTTGAATAATTTATTCTTCCGCCGACTCAAAATTAATTAATTAGTAGACTTTTGCAGTAACTATAACATTATTAGTTTATTGCCTCTATTTCTCCCACAGACTGCATAAGTTAACAGTTTTCTGTCGGAGATTAATTTCCAGTGTCTACAATTAGATCCCCGTTTGAATAATGTAGTTCGTGGACGACTCAGAATTAACTAAAAAGTAGAAATCTGTATTCATTACAACTAATTACACTTTTTCGTTAGTTGATCGCCTCTAATTCACTTGTAGATTGCTTAAGTTAACAATTTTCCGTAAAATATTAATTTCTAATGTGCGCAATTAGATCCCTTATTGAATAATTTAGTCGACCCAAAATTAAATTGATTAGTAGAAATCTGCACTGATTATAACTAATTACACTTTTTTTTAGTTTATCGTCGATAATCCTCCCAAAGACTGCCTAAGTTAACAATTTTCCGTGCAAGATTCATTTCTAGTGTGTACAATTAGATCCCCTTTTGAATAATTAAAAATAGTGGACGACTCAAATTAACTAATTAGTAGACTTTTGCAGTAACTATAACTTTATTAGTTTATTGCCTCTATTTCTCATACAGACTACATAAGTTAACAGTTTTCTGTCAGAGATTAATTTCCACTGTCTACAATTAGATCCCCTTTTGAATAATTTAGTGTATGGACGACCCAAAATTAACTAATTAATAGAAATCTGCACTAATTATAACTAAATTACATTTTTTCATTAGTTTTTCGTCTCTATTTCTTCCGTAGATTGCATAAGTCAACAGTTAATTTAGTCTATGGACGACTCAAAATTAACTAATTAGTAGCCAGCTGCACTAATTGTAACTTATACATTTTTAATAATCTATCAGTTAACAGTTCAATTATGTCGAACAATTAATTCTTTTTTTGAATGACTTGATTAGTAGATAACTGAAAATGTACTTATTGGTAAACTGCTGCACTAACTATAACTAATTGCAGCTCTTTTTATGAGTTTGTCGCCTCTAATTCTTCCATAGACTGCATAAGTTAACAGTTTTCCTTCAAATTCTAGTGTGTTCAATTTCATTTCCTTTTAACTAATTTAGTCTCAACGAAAAAAAAATTAACTGATTAGTGATTTTTTGTTACAAATTTATTTCTAGGGATATCCCCTTTTGAATAATTTAGGCTGTGGACGACTCAACATAAACTAATTAGTAGAAATCGTTACCAACAATAACTAATTACACTTTTTCATTAGCTTGTCCTCTCTAATTCTCGGGCCCATTGCATGACTCAACAGTTTTCCGTCAAAGATTCATTTCTCATGTGTGCAATTTGATCCCCTTTTGAACAATTCCGTCTGTGGACGACTGAAGATTAACTTATTAGTAGAAATCTGCAACTATAACTAATTACACCTTCTTATTAGTTAACCGCCTCTAATTCACTCTCCTAATGATTCATTTCTTGTGTATGCGGTTACATCTCTTTTTAATAAATTCAGTCGATAGGTGACCCAGTATTCACTAATTAGTAAACAGCTGCGCACTAATTGTAACTAATTACTATTTTTATTAGTTTATCATCTTTAATTTTCCCGTATACTGCGTAAATTAATACTTTCCCGATAAAGATTCATGTCTGTGTGCAACTATATCCTCTTTTGAATAATTCTGTAGATGGCTCAAAATTATCTAATTAGTGGAGAGCTGCACTTAATTCTAAACTAGTTACATTTGTTTTATAATTTATCGTCTTTAATTCACTCGTACATTGTGTAATTGTGTTAAAGTTTCGTTTACAATGTGCGCGATTAAATCTCCTTTTGAATAATT